CCTAGAAGTCCCACATTAGCACATTTGAATCAGAATTTCATCCTTCAGGCATCTAAAACTGCAAAAACAAGCCCCAAGATAAGTCCTTTATTTTCTGAGTTGTACCCTAAAAATCAATCCAGGTCCTTCCAAAAACCGTTATTCGTCAGAATTTTTCGCCTTCTTGCTCCATGAATGTCAATATACATTGGGACAGTGTTGTTTCAACTTAGTATGTAGATATGTGGCTAGAATATTGACTGAAAAATCTGGTTTCCAAGCCCTAATCAAGCTGATGATTGATGATCAAGCCCTAAGCACCGGATGCCTTGACGATGTGTGGGCGGGACAAAAACAGTTTACTCGTGGCTCATGGCAGACGTGCCACCCGTCACGTAAGCACGGGCGCCAGGCCTTACCTACCTTAGCGCCGGAAATATGCCGTCGTACTGTTTTTGCCGTCAACGGCCTTTTGTGTCAACCTCTTCAGGTGATATATTTGAACAAAAACACAGGCATAAATAGCGTAATTCGTCACTTGTGGGCAGTTCAATGAGACCAAACGTACTGTCATATTGAGTTGTTTGTTGATGTAGCTTGCATATTAGAAAATGATATTCTGATACATATAACAGAGCTGTATATATAACAAAATGTATAGTTTCACGATCTATATTATACCGAACTTTTATTTATATAAACAAGCCTAGCTATAGGCTAAAGGAACCACAATAGTCACGGATGCCTCAATTGACGATGATCATAGAAATGTATTCTCTCCGATCTTATTTGAAAATAATTATTAGATCACTAAGCATGATGGCTACAGCTACAGCTTATTTTGTTTCCAACAAGATGCATACGACATTAGTGTTTAACTTAGGCTTGTGAATTATTTACACCACAGAGAGTGGTGTAAAAAATGCATCCCAGTTTTGAAGAGAAAAATCCCTGTATTATCAAGACAATATCATCTGTGCATTAAATAAAAGCAAAAAGGTGAGCTATATGAAAGCCACTAGAAATATGAATTGTATATACGAGTTTCACGAAAGAAAACATGACTGTGCATCCCTCACTCACTCACTTACTCACTCACTGGGTCGAGCTTCCCTCAGTGCCAATGATAGCACTCCATCTCTTCCTTGTGCATTCCTAACGCAGTGTTATTAAGGCTTAGAAACACACAGTATCATTAACCCGAGTTTGCATGCAGCAACAGTCTACCAGACAATTACAACTAGACGACTATTTTTAGTCTGGTACTTCTGCGCAGACGTGTACCTTATTAATATGTAGCCTAGAAGAAAACAGCGTAAAAACATCCACTGAAATTATCACTGTTTCATTACAAAAGCATAGAAAGAAATTAAAACGTGTTGAAAACACCGAGACACCGAAAACAAGTTATTATGCCGCACCACCACAACAACAATGGTGGCATGAATAAAAAAACGTCGTTAGAAGTTCCGGTAAGGCCACGGAAAGTAATTTTTATGGATGACATCAGCGCGCGCACATTAATTTTCGCCTGATTTGGGGGCGGGGAAGAAATTTTGTTGCCCTCTGGCAGTGGTCAACATGCCGAAAATGGACAAAGATGTCTGTTGCCATGCCGGATGGATGACAGATAACTATGAAGGGAGGAGACAAGAAAAGGCTCTGATTTAATTTTTTTCTACTTTCCCGCAGTGATATGTGATGATTTCGGTGGATATGTGGTCTCCCCACTAAAATAAAAACCATTTGTACAATGATTGCGTCAAAATTTGAAAATGTAGGAACCTTGTGCTTTTTTGCCTGCCTTGTTTTTTTTGGCCGCTCGCATTAGATTTGGAGTCTGTGGGGGGTGTCATGCATAGAATTTACCTGCTGTGGCCTAACTAAGGCCTGCCTGGAGCCTATCATAAATCACGTGACAAGTGAACTTGGGTTGCTAAGTTTTGTTCTGAGGTACGTGGGTACAGACCACAGTCGCCTACAAAGTCAGACTGCCGTGAGACATCGGTCCCAACATGGCGCGGCGCAGTATGAGGTTGGTGGAGTACGGGAAGCCCTTCCAGCTAGCGGAGGAAGAGGTACCCACTGCACCCAAGGGCGGGGCTGTCGTCAAGGTACGTTTGTTATAATACCTTCACAATAGACGTACAAAGAGAATATTTCTATGGGTATTGCACAAAAACTTGTGTGCAGCTGTTAACATTGAGAAACCACCGTTTAAAAAAAAACACAACTTAATCACCAGCGAATATACAATTTTGTCTGGTCCAAACGAATTAACTCTTCGCAAATATGGTCATGGGATCGTGTGGTGTAGCGACAGAGTGCACGACTCGGAACCAAGAGGTCCCGGGTTCGAGTCTTGACATGCCACCGACCTTGTGCCCTCGGGAAAGACACTTTACACTACTTTCCTCACTTCGCTCAGTTGAAAATGAGTATTGTGTTGTCCCCTATGTTTGTGGCGGCATTAAGTTGAAAAAAAAACTTGAGTGTGCCGTCACCACGTCTTGTGATTATATGTTGGAATATAAAGAAAAAAAACTCTACGCAAATATATCCTGCAAGTATGGCTTGCAGATACGTTTGGACATGCTTTTGCACAGGAAACTTTTACAGTGCATTCCGAAGTAGGTTACAAACTTGATTCCTTTTTGTTATCTATTAATTTTCTTACAAAGAGCTGACGGGGCAGTAAGGCCTTTGAGGCACAGTCAACGTCCTTTAGTACGTTTTTGAAGGTCAGTCGAACATGGGTCGACGCCGTGCCGACCTTCGACTGGCCTCAATTCATAGCCACACCTGTAAATATAACAAATAACACAAACACGGAAGGGGTGGTGTTAAGGTCAAGCCTTCGCCTGGATAAGGATTTCTCAGCACATAGACAGACAGAAACAGATTATTTCAGACAGTTACCACAGTTTCTCCGTCTTTTTATCATTTAGTAGCTTACCAAAAGACTACATTTCTACTATGATCACAAAACCCACTCATTATACAGACCATTCATTATCCACTGTCTTCAAAGACGGGGTCAAAGCTTATAATATCTAGGAAGTAGTAGAAATATGAGTTTTTCCAGACAGTAGCTGTTTCCTATTGTTGTATTGTACGGAATGGTATCTTTGACTGTAAAATCAATTAGCCTTTAAGCATGATTTTTGCAAATAAATATTATATAGAGTATATAAAACTTGGGTATGGGAGAATTGCAAATTGACTGGAGGAATTTTAGTCCTGCTAATAAATTTATCCACTAACTGTTCCAGTAGTGATATTTGTGCAATCCGAATTGCTTTTTAATCAAAATTTTAATAAAAATATTAATCAAAATTTCTGTTGTTGTAATTATATTGTTGGTGGTATTTAATGACTGTAGTGTATGATATTGCATACTCAATAGAGTTAAGACCATTGTCCCCCTCCCTGAGCCTCCCTGCCTCATTAACTGAAAGCCCAACTTTCAAGTGTAATGTACACTTATTGGGTGGTTATTTTCTGACATTTCCGACAACTACTAAAGCACAAGGTCAAAGGCAAACTCTCTGCCTACATAAATTTAGTGAATAACTTGCTAATATTATAATATTGATATAATAAGCACATCTAAATTTATAAACTTCAAGTGCCCGGCGGGACCCCTAGACAAACTTTTTTTCAAGCAAATTTGGTATGTATGTATTCGTACAAACTCTATAACATCCCATCGATCCCAGGTGTATCATTGTTATTGCAACAGAGATATCACCTAATATGTTCAAATTTTTGGCAAAAAATCACATGCTTGCAATATTCATACAGGGTCAGCAAAGTGTAGGAGATGTTGTGCACTCTGGGCCCGACACACTGTTTTAGAACAACTTGTCTACTTTCTATACATGTGTTCAGTAACTCAAAAGAACGTTGTGTGTGGATGCGCTTTTAGGGCAAAAATAAGATCACAAAAATTGAACTTCTGGCTTCTTATGAACTGAAATCTGATCACTTTGTTGGGATAAGTGGACAATACAGCCAATTAACTTGTTGACGTAGCACTTTCCTTGTTGGGGACCACACTACCCGAGGAGAACAATAGGCAGTTCACGGCTTGTCCACACCTTTACCTGCTAGTGCCAGACAGTCAGCTTGGCTTGGTTTATCAGCAATAAACAACCATTGTTTCAAGGTTCCAAGTACTAGTGCATTGTAAGACTAGAAAAAGACGGTTTTATCAAAAATCCATTTCTTGATCCAACATACTCTACAACAACATAAGGAACAAGTCGATAACATCAAAAAGTATAACTATAATTTGGTTGGCCGCAAGCTTTTTTAACAAGTTGACTACACTGGCGCACTCACTATCCAGTTTATCGTCTGTTGTTCCCTGATGCAAAAGGGTTCTATAGAGCTGCTACTACAAATTCGAAAGAAAGTTTGGATATGGAATCCTTTGTCAATTATAATACACATCCAGCACTGTTCCCAGACAGCCAAACATTTCACACTCCACAGAGGCCAGGTATCACTTCACCTGGTCCACCGGCACCCCTCTTGCAATGTTTTCACACTGGGCAGGGTCAGGGCAATTATCAAACAATAGGAGAAATCTGGAAAATTCAGGGTCAAAGGTTGTATCTATGTGTTGCTAAGGCGGCCGGCGCCCAAATTGCTGGGGGGTCGTGAAATGGTCTTAACTCTACTGAGTATTGCATTGCATTGTATCGTATTGCATTGCATTGCATTGTATTGTAAATACTGTGTTGTATTGTATTGTAATGTATTGTACATATTGCATTGTATTGTATTATATTGTATTGTATTGTATTGTTTTGTATTGTGTTGTAAATACTGTATTGTATTGTATTGTAAATATCGTATTGTGTTGTATTGTATTGTATTGCATTGTGCATCATACATATCCTCGTTAGACCAGTGGTAGGCCCTCGGTCCCACCGAGAATGGATATTCGAATGAAGTCCCAAAGTCTCCCATTTCACTACATGGTATCTGTCAACACACTTTTGTAACAACAATTTTCGGACATGGATTGGGTGTAACGGCTGCCATACATGCATTGAAAATGAAGAAATGGCGGTGGAGAGCTCCTATAGCCTCAAAAAGAGCCCTCCCAGGCTATCCAATCACGATATTGTATCCAATTTACGATAGACTGGATACCAGACTATGTGCACGTAAGTTTGCATTCATAATAGTAGTCGCGATGTAACCATGTAACTGTTAAATCACGCATGGTGTGTTACAGTTCCTAAAGCTACGGTCACAACCCGCCGCACGTGCTTTTTCTCCGTACGTTTTTTGGGAGGCTACGTCTGCTACGTTTTTTCTAAAAACGTGGGGAAGGAGTGGCGTCTACGCACGTCACTCGCACGTCACTCGCACGGTTGGACAAAGTGTAAGAGTGTGGTCTGCACGCCAAGTCTGGCCGTGAGCGGCCGCGTGCATCGTACGTTGCGCAACGTGCTTACAACGTACGATCTCCGTGCGATTGCAATTTTACCGTAAGGAGGCCGTACTCACACCTGCTTCTTCCGCACGGCACGTACGGGGCACGCGCGTCGCTCGTACTCGCACGCACGGGTGGTGAATCCGCAGACCGCACGTAGAAAAAGTTTTACATGCACTTAAAGTTCTACGGCGTGTCTGCGTGCTCCCAAATCCGTAGGATTCCGTACGGAGGTGGTACTCACCACGCACGGATGCCCTACGTTTGCCCACGTTTTTTTTTTACATAGACAGCACGCAGAGGCACGTACGGCGGGTTGTGACCGTAGCTTAAGTCTAACCTGTTTATCCCCAGAATGAGTATGCAGGAGTGTGCCATACCGACGCCCACAGCGCGGACGACGAGTTTAGCGGACTCGCTCCTCTAAAATGCGTTCTCGGTAAAAAAAACACATCCGATTATTTTTCATAATTTCATAATTTTTCAATCAATGTCCTCTTAAAGAACATCATGGATTCTATAGTTTTATATCATTAGGATATTTGTAACATTCAAAATAAAAAAAACGATTGGATCCCCTTGGCATCTTCGTAACTTACTGAGTTTACTATTTGCATTTGGCATTTAGCATATAAAACATATCATTATTAATGACATCACATGGCGTTGACCTAGGATATGTGATCTAAATGCATATGCAAAGATCAAAATATTATGATAAATGACGTATTTCATTTTATAGAGTTGGCTGAAATACTGAGAGATCATAACTTTAGTCATGCTTCTGAATGAATGTTCTAACAATGACAATATGTGCATTTTAGGACATGAGATGGCTGGTACTATTGTTGAGATCGACCCTAGTGCCGAACTAAAGGTGAGACTCAGTAGTCAAACTTCGTGGCATAAATGTATCATGTATTGTTGGTCTGAAAGGTCTAACATTGTATGCTTTGGCTCAGGTATTTAGTCAGTCTGGTAACCGTACAATCAGGAGCTCCCAGCTAGAGTGTTGGCTGCCCGCCAATTGTAGCGTATTTACGGGGTTGGATTACGGGGTTGGTTTGGTATTTAAGTACTTCAACCCTTGAGTCCTTAGGTTAAGGGGACTGTAAATATTTAGTCTATGCAGAGACTAAGCGTAACAAGCTGATAAACATACAATATGTCTGGACTACGTATCTACGTGTTTCTAAAGGCACTCGAAGCGATTTCTGAATTTCTAAAGTCATTTTAATGAGGTAAGTTCTATCATCCCTATCCGATGTTTTATGTTTTATTAGATATCCATTAGATTAGATAACAAATCTAATCTATTCTTCCTGGATTCATAAAACACAGAGTACACAAATGTAATACAAACTAAGGCACACAACATAACATAACACTTGCATCCATTAGACCACAACTAGCATAAAACTACAAAGCAATAAACAATAACAACTACAAAGCAACACGACATTACCAGATCGCTTTTGGGAGGTCGCATACAATGATAATATATACAGCTTCTTGCTTGTACCAGTACCTTACCACCAGTGCTTTAAGTGTTTGTATGTGTCTGTCTTGTGAGTTATCGTGTCGTTTATGATGTTCTTGAATAGTGTTGGTGTGGCTGACCTGGCGTGTGGTGTAAGGTTGTTGTGAGATTTTATACATAGCATGATAGCATGCTGATATCTGTGAAGCAAAAGTATGATGTCGCTGACGGGAAAAAGTTCTTTTTTTCGCATTGTAGGCTGGTTCTAGCTATGTATTGGTGGGCCCCCAAACAAACAAGCTCCTCGCGTAGCTGGTTTGAGGGCTATTTCAAACTGTTCGAGTATGAGATGATGACAAAATGTGATAGGAATTTTTTTAGTGACGTCCTGGATATTTTGATTGTTTTACTACACCGAAGTTGCATCGAATGTCTTAAAAACTCGACGTCCTTAGATTACGGATAAACGCATGACGACAGATTTCATATCTTGTTAACGTTAGACCGCAACATCTGTTTTGTAATAGTATGTTAACCTAACAAAGTAGATATAGTACACAATGTAATTATAGTAAACGCATGACGACTAGGCTAGATTGCATAGCTTGTTAAAGTTAGGCCGCAACATCTGTTATGTAGTAATATAGTATGTTTATCTGAAGTTAAACCGGCACTGTTAACTGTTACCTGTTCCGAATTGTTTATGTTCTTGTTGTGAGGGCTAGGCCTTTATGATAGCCTTCGGCTAGTTGGGCAGTCCTGGCTGTATATGATCGTATATATCTGTCTTATATATAGTCAGTCTAATGAATCAAATCAAGGATACGGCCAACAACTTTTTGTGTTAAGGTTGGAGACAAGGTGATAGTCTACTGGCACGGTGGATGTGGGGACTGCAGCAGGTGTCAGGTGGGAGAAACTACTGCCTGTCTCAAGGACGTCAAACACTGGGCTGGCATCACAGAGGATGGCGGGTAAGACTTCATAAACATGTGTCATTTTTGTAGCATATAGTAATTTAAAAGAGAGCTATAAAGTTACGTAGCTGGTTTTTCGAAACGGTACACAATGTCCACGTACTAAATTGAAGTACTACATAATTGTATGTTTTCAACTTTCAAGTTGAAGTTGTGCCTAGTTAGAGTGGTCCTTTAATATCTTGGAGAAACTGAATTTCTATTATACATAATAATAATAATAATGAAAAATAGAATGTAAAAATATCAATTTTGATGACTGTACCAGCAAAGCTTTATTATTACGATGTTAAAGTAAATAGGTCGTCTACTGGGCAGTATAGGGAAAATAATTAGCAATAACGTTGGAAGTTGAAGAAGGATTGAAAAATAAATTCATGTATGCGTCTTGTTTTCATTAGTTTCTCGGATTACGTGGTTATTCCTGACGCCAGACTGTTGGTGAAGGTGCCTGACACGGTTGCCATGGACGCGGCCTGTCTCCTCCCCTGCTCCGGTATAACAGCGTACAACGCCGTCTGTACCATGGTGCCGACCGTTCAGGACTTCGCCAAACACTCAGGTACTTTTAATTTACGTATTAATGTTTATGTTACCATCCATGTACATCATCCAATCCTGAAGGGTTTTGCAAAGGTTGTATAGGTTGCTGTACGTGAATCACTGACATTATGTTTACCTTGCAATTGAAGTTGAAGTTTGTTTTTGCTGTTTCCTATTGTTTTTCTCAAATTATAAATCTGGACAAGACGTCTGTCACTATGGTAACTGGTGTTGGATTATATTATTGTAGCAAAGTGACTGAATGGGTCTCAAGGGCATTGTTACCAAATAATGCGTTGGAATACATTATGTAGCAAAGTGGCAAGTCGCTGAAGGGGATGGTTACCAGATGTATAAATGGTACTTTTCTAGTTTTTGTCTTGTTTGTTTGTTTGTTTGTTTGTTTGTTTGTTTGCGCCTACGTCCCATTGGTATGACTCATCTATTGTTGCACTCATGTTACAGCGGACTGTGCAGTACTGCTGGTGGGCGCTGGGGGGCTCGGCCTGTGGGGTGTCCAGTTCGCCAAACAGCTACTTCCAGCTGGAGTTCGCGTCATCAGTGCTGATGTGGACGTAAGTAATGTGTTTTAAATGGCCAAAGAGGGGCAATTCAGGCATACGAGTATTCCATTCCACGAAAATGCAAAGAGTAAAAGTAGTTCACAAAGTAAGACGAAGAGCTACATATATAACTATGTCAGTTTAAACATTTTTTTATAGCTCAAAATATTTTTTTGTCCCATAGGAGGAGAAACTGGCAACGGCTAAAGAAGCTGGATGTGACGAAGCTCTTCTGTGGGGCAAAGATGGTCAGTCAAAATTTCAAAAATATGTATCAAACAAAAGCATGGCCAAAGTAATAAGCCTGTGTATGACAGGCATTCAGACAGTGGTTGTCATTCCAGGGTGATTTCAGGGCAGTAATACAGTCAATTTGTACGTCTTATTTTGTCAATGTAGTAAACTGAATCAACTCTACCCCATAGCATGCTGATACCTGTGAGTGTGATGCAAAAATGTGACATCTCTGATTGAAAACGGTTGCTTGTTTCGTATCATATGCTGGTTCTAGCTATTTATTTGTGGTACGTATGTATCTAATGAAAAGAGGTTCCTAATGCAGCTTGTTTCTGGGCTAGTTCAAACGCTTCAAGTATCAAGTGGTGACGAAAATGTGCTAAGAGATAACAGTAAATGTCTATATCAGACAGTTTCTCTCATCCTGAATTTTTGTTTTGGTTTGCAGCCCTGAAATTGCATAGCTCTATTGTTGCAGCACGCTTCATTGTTTGTATTCTTTGTATCCAGTTGATGACGCCGCCGCTGTGGCTGCAGCTCAGAAAGTATGCGGGAGTCTGGGTGCTGCTGTGGCCGCCATCGACTTCGTCAACGTGCCTGCTACATTCGGACGTATAGAGAAAATACTAGTCCAGGTTATTTCTAGAACACTTCAGCATTCAATATTGAGATTTAATCTTAGCGTGGTACCTAGTTACCAATTAAAAGCAGCTAACTGTTTTATGAAAACCTTTTTCAAAAAGAGGTCTACCAGCAAAAAAGTTGAGAATGTCTTTAGAAATGCTACACTGTTCCTGTATAATAAGCACTCAGTGCCCTCCCCAATTGTAAATTGAACCTTTGGGCTTCAATGAAGGTGAAAGACATATTTTCAACCCACTGTACCCTGAGTGATTTCGGCTCGACACGAATAAGGAAAATGTAATGGTTAACTTATAAACCATAGAAAATGTACAACAGGTTGTTTTCTCAATGAGTTGTAAGGAAAACAACCCACATCATTGTATAAGAATATCACAATGCAGTCACATGGGTACCATACTAGAACATCAGACTTACAGACCATCCGACTTCCTAAACCTCGCACAAATGCACAGAAAAGAAGATTTTTGTATAGAATGTCCAGTGCCTGGAATGAAATGAAGTGGTGATGATGTACATGTGTATAGCCTTATTTTAAGCTGTGTTAATATGTTGTAATTGCCAACGTATTTATGTTTTGTAATTGTGTCATGTGTGTCTTGAAGGACCACAGGAAGAATAGCTACATTTGTTGTAAGCTAAGTGTGGATCCCAATAAAGTCAAAGTCAAAGTCAATGCATGACATGCTACATGCTACATGCAGCAGCTAGCTACCGGTTTGGAGCTTTGAACCTTTGCATAATAACAGTAAATTTGAATATTATTGTTTCCTTTTTTTACTCAGGGCGGCATGCACGTTGTGGTGGGTTTGTTGGGAGGAGACGCCCCCGGGACCGTCCCTCTGATGCCGTACGTGCTGAGTCGTCACCAGATGGCCGGGGTGCTCATGGGATCTCTGCCGCAGCTTAAGGACCTCATGGCCCTCATGGCGAAGGGGAAGGTACGAAAATTCATCACGTTGGGCAGAACGTACTGCGCCTAATACTGCGCGTGCTGAGACTAATTGTAAAAGTATGAACTTTACTCAGAATTTCATCATCAAAAGTGGTCATTTTGTATCTGATTGATCTTTTCGACTTCAATTATTCTACTCGTATCCTTTCAGTAATTCCAAGGGATAGGGGTTGGGACTTTCGCTCGTTGAATTTCATTAGCTTGTTTCCATTTTGTATATTTGTTTATTTGTTCATGTAAGCAATATGTCTCTGTTTAATCATTTTGTGTAGATAGCGCCGTTGATTTAATTTCCATGGAATTTAAATTCGACGTCATCTTGTATGTTTTTATATTTTTGCTGCTTCAATTAAAAAAAACGTACTGCGCCTCCACGAAACCTAGATTTTTCATGATTGTCGTTGGATGTTTGGTCAATGTTGCATCAGAATTTTGCCCGTTTGCACGGTATCTTTTCCGATACAACACTTGATAACTACAAAGGGAAGGAATGCCACCATTATAGGCGAATGCGAACGAGACGAAGTTCTGTGTACAATGCATTGGGTATTTCGCGCAGGCGTGGTGCGTTCTGCCGAGTTGCTCGTGCAGTCGAATTTATGTTCATATGTAGGGTGACTTTATAATACACAACGGATGACCGTGGGCTTGATGATGACTTTGTTAGTACAAGCAATTAAAATCTTAACAACCTCCATGCCTATTTCCAGGTGAAACCACCGCCAATTTCCCATCATCCTTTGGAGAACGTCTATGACGTCCTGCAGGATCTCAAGGCTGGAAAGGTCAAAGGTCGTGCGGTTGTGAAGCTGTGAATGATGGGAAATCTGGAAACCGCCCTTACTGTAAACTTTAAAAGACTACAGAAAATAGAAACATGTACAACAGTAGAGCATTCCTACAGATTGTTTTTGATTTTCAAAGCTTAATAATAGAGAAACGGTGTGAACAAATGAAGCAGAAATGAAAAAAAAAACGTGAAGAAATTTTGTTTATGCCTCTTTTTTGTCTCCAGGACGATGATACACACACACACAAACACAAACACACACACGCGCGCACAAACACACACATAAACACACACACAAACACACACAGAGAGAGAAACGGTACTCACATGCAAGTCAAGAATTAAATCTACGTTTACTAAGAATAACACTACGCCCTGGATGCTTAGTTTCGTCAGGTAAATACAAACTGTACAGGGGACAGCCCACTAATTCCAGCCCCTATTGGAATTATGTAGAAAACATCCAAGAACTGAGCTGTCAACAATCACCTACTTGAGTGTTCAACTATTGCAAACACACATTGACAGGCTAGTCCAACTTCCAAATTGTCCATTTAGTCCAAAAATTTCACTTTTTGACCAGCGATGCATAGCACGGCAAATGCAAACACTGGCAGCATGACTTGAAGACCACAAAAAGACAAGAAGATGGGATTAGTTTTAGAACTCTACCAAGCAGCGAAAAACAACACTAACAGCCTTTTTTTTTTTCAAATTAATAGAAACAGAAATAACTCTCCAGCTGGAAAATGCCGGCATTTATCCACACATACCAAGAAAATGGCTGTTTTCAGTTGGTTTGGCTGCACTCAAGCATGCGCCAAATGGTGACCTTTGCCCTACAGTCATATTTGGGACTCCAGCCTTTATGCTGTAACAGCGACACCTAGCGGTAGTGTCAATTTGAACCAGTCTGCATTTCCCTGAGAAAGGTGACAGTCATTTAAACGTTGGCTATATATTACAAATTTTGGTTGTGTACAAATAACTCTGTTAACGAGCGACACTGCTATGTTGGGACCTGGCATAGTCCAAGTAGCTACATGTATTTAGTTTTGGAGGATTTTTGAAACATCATTTAACCTCGACCAGGTAGTGCAAAGTTTACTATGTACTAGTATTATACTTCTCATAACATAGTGGTTTATAGCGAACACTGAAGTCACTAGTAGTTCGGGTAGTGCGGTTCAGTACTTGAAAAAGCCGCAGAGATTGTTCTGTGAACAGCAGCCGGGGTGGTAGAAACTGTGTTGAGTGGGAAAGGAATGCGTCATGTTTGAGGCTGTAAGAGTCTCAGAACACGTCACTGGGGTAGTTTTTCGCCCAAAGAGATTTTGAGGAGAGGGGGACGCGTGCATTTTGTTCATTCATTAACTTGCTGTAAGACTGACTATGACTGAACTTTGTGACATGTTTAAGTTACTTAAAGGTTAACTTTACTATGCATATATTATGTTAATGTAGAGGTCATTTTCAAATCTAATGAGGACATATTTAAATGAAATATTGCCAAAGGATAAGAATTCCTCACGCAAAATATTGTCATTTGACTTTAGAAACCGTAAATCAAACTTAATTACGACCTTACTTTCACATACAATGAGACAATTCCCCCCAATAACAATTTTACATAAACTGTACATATTTCATGGAGGTATGAGTTCTCCGAATTCTTGTTTGTAGATTGTACTCTGAACTCAAACATACTCGACCTTTGATCCATGTTTGTTCACCCTATCATAACGGAGGGTCAAAGTCTAAACATAAAACAGTACCATGAAGTTGACAGATGCTTTATTCTCATTTTATCATAAGAATGGTTTTACATAATTGCCTGGAACGTACAACAAAACACTGTTTACAAAATACAATAATGAAAAGTGTTTGTTTTCTGCCCACCTTGCAGGAAGAAATGCACCAAAAGTGACATGCTGGCCACAAAGGAATTGTGTACTATTCTGTCCATGCCCTTGCACAAAATGTGCCCAACGGTACAGGGACTGATAACACAGAAAATGTACTACAATGCTAAAATATTGTTTTAACCACGAACTTAAAACACCAAAAAATCTCTTTTCTTTTCCCAACGCTAAAATTACTATCTCGGCTAATGAAAAAAGAATATGTGTTCTCTTGTTGTGACCTGTATTAAAACACCCTTCGGCAATTGGATGAGTGTCCTCAACTGAAGAGATATTCCTACCTTGTTGAAACGACCTTTATCGGATGCAAAGAGTCCAACGTGTCACTGTTAGTCCTAAGCGATTATTTCAGGTGTAACCCACCGTCAGCATGTAGTGCAACTCCTGTGATGAACGCCGCCTTTTCCGAGCACAGGAAGGCCACCACACCGCCAACCTCACGCGGAGATCCCCACCGCTTCATACCGAGAGAATTTACCAGACCCTCGACTACATCCTCCCCCCTCTCTTCCCTAACTGGCCCCCAGGCTTCGGTTTTGATGTAGCCGGGAATGACGACGTTACAGGTGATCCTCCTGGGCGCAAGCTGCTTGGCGTAGTGCCGGACCAGATACTCCACACTTGCTTTAGATATCCCCGGGGTGACGTAGTGAAAGTAGGGGCTTGTAGAATTGTTGCACCCGGGAGAAGACATGCCGACGATGTACCCTCGCTCGTCCTCCATCCGGGTGACCGCTTTTTCCACAAGCCTGATGAAACATTTTGGGTACATGCCCTGGTAGTATTCGTACGCCTCCCAGCCTTGGAACCAGCTGCCGTTGGCGTCAGGTTTGCTCGGGGTGTGGCCTCCCCAGTAGCCACCGGCGTTGTGGACGAGTGCATTCAGCTTGCCGCCGAAGTTCTGGTCGATACAGGAGAACAAGGCGTCTACTGTGGCTTCTTCTTCTACCCCGCCCCCAACCAGAAACACACGCACCTTGTACGTTCCCTCCAGGTGTACTTTGGCGTCTTGGGCACGTTCTTGGTTCTGTCTGTAGCCCAGCACAAGATCATAGCCGACAGAGGCGAGCTCCTCGGCTATACCGTAGCCGATTCCTCGGGTCCCACCGGTGACGAGAGCGGTCTTGCTGAGCGACATGATAGCGACGTGTGCGTAGGGAAATGTCCTGGATGTAAGCAAGGACAGTGTATTAAAGTGAAGAAATCTGCTTCAATAGTCCGAGAGGATAGTAGGTATAACGATCCCACAACACATTGCGGGTTCCGGTCTCCCGAGCACGTATCCGACTAACAGCACTTCGGAGCTCCCCCCCCCCATCGTCGAGCCATACGATCTTGTTAACGACCACCGTATTTTCTAAGTAACATTCAACCTGAGTTAGGTAACCTGATACAAGCCTGAGTGGAAGAAATGCACCAATAGTGACATGCAGGTCACAATTGTGCACCTTTTTCCTTCGGTAGACATAAATATCTAAACTATGGCTGTTAAGGGTATCAACAATAAACAAACAATTAGAATCCCAACGACCTTCATGCCTATTTCCTGGTGAAACAACCGCCAATTTCCCATCATCCTTTGGAGAACGTCTATGACGTCCTGCAGGATCTGAAGATTGGAAAGGTCAAAGGTCGTGCGGTTGTGAAGCTGTGAATGATGGGAAATGTGGAAACCCTCCCTACCGGTAACTTCAAAGACTACATAAAATAAGAGAAACGAGAGTAGAGCATTCCTACAGATTGTTTCTGGTTTCCAAAGCTTAATGATAGAGAAACTGTGTAATCACAAATGAAAAAAAAACGGGATGAAATTTTGTTTATGCGGCCTCTTTTTTTGTGTCCAGGACGATCACACACACACACACACACACACACACACACACACACACACAGACGTCACTTGCATACAAATAAAAAATTAAAAATGTATATGATTACCAAGAATAACACTACGCCGTGGATACTTAGTTTCGTCAGGTAAATACAAATTATACAGTCATATTTGGGACTCCAGCCTTTATGCTGTAACAGCGACACCTAGCGGTAGTGTCAATTTGAACCAGTCTGCATTTCCCTGAGAAAGGTGACAGTCATTTAAACGTTGGCTATATATTACAAATTTTGGTTGTGTACAAATTACTCTGTTAACGAGCGACACTGCTATTTTGGGACCTGGCATAGTCCAAGTAGCTACATATATATAGTTTTGGAGGATTTTTAAAACATCATTTAACCTCGACCAGGTAGTGCAAAGTTTACTGTGTACTAGTATTATAGTTCTCATAACATAGTGGTTTATAGCGAACACTCAAGTCACTAGTAGTTCGGGTAGTGCGGTTCAGTACTTGAAAAAGCTGCAGAGATTGTTCTGTGCACGGCAGCCGTGGTGGTAGAAACGGGGTGTTAATTGGGAAAGGAATGAGCCAGGTTTGAGGCTGTAAGAGTCTCAGAAGACGTCACCGGGGTAGTTTTTCGCCCAAAGAGATTTTTTGGGAGAGGGGGGCGCGTGCATTTTGTTCATTCACTAACTTTCTGCAGAGGTGAAATCGCTAAAGGGGGGGGGGTGAGGGGACCAAATCAGTAGCGGGGAGGGCGAAATCGCTAATCTCGGCCCGGGGAAAACTAAAGATATTTCGGCCCGGGGAGGGCGAAATTACGGAACGGCGAGATCGATGTGACACCGGCCGTTATATAAAAGGGACCATAAGTTTGTGAATTTTAAATAGAAGCCACCTCAGCGCCCCGACAGGGAGCCGTAAAGGAACATATGATTGTGACCCTGACAGCCGGCGGCACGCTCGGCTTCATAACGCCGGCCGGCGTCTACACCGGGAACATGCCGCGCAGGCCCCCTTTGAAATGTGACTCAAGCTTTAACAAGAAAGGTGTAAAAAATACACCTAGGCGACGAATTGTATATTATGTAAATTAGGGTATTATCAATTTAATTTATTTTTATTATATGTACGAGTTGGAATACTTCACTTCATAAGCTACATGTACATATATGTGCCTGGTTATCTACATGTCGGCAATCGACCAATATCGGGTCCCCATTCTTAGCTCGGTGTTTGTTGCTATTGTTTAGATTTAATTCCAATCTTTTATAAATATTTTTAAAGGGATATCTTATGTTTTACAAACATTTCAAACTTGTTCTTAACTTCTTAAGAAATTTCCGTAAATTACAAAACATTCGAAATATTTTTGAGTCCGCGAACGATATTTCCAATGATTTCTAAAGAAAGGCAACTCGGTTCTACCATTTTTTTAAATTTTTGTAAATGACCCGTGACGAAGTAATTTGCACATCAACACGAAGTGTTCTGTGAGCCAAAAATAGGAATCGTTGATGAACCCTGCGGCGATCCTGCCGTCGGCGAGCACTCGACACGATAGCGGCCAGCCATTGATACTGAAAAACAGTGCCAAACCGTACGCTGCTTTTAATAAATTTCAAACTCTAGTGAAACATCAAATCCTTTCTGTTGTACCATGGTTGTACAGTCCATCCATATTTCTTGAGATAAAAATAGGTACCCATTCACAAAAACGCCTGTAAATTCAAGGATCTTTCTCGCACAGTTTACGTAGATCTATTACACGGCGCCGAAACATGTCAAAATACACTCCGTCTTCCCTCTCGTCAAAAACGCCGTCCGTGCAAGTCATGTGTGCTTCCAAATAGTCCGCGGAAACCGCTGGCATATTGCCGGTAGCTCGGGCGATCGCGATCTTCCGTCTGCATCGGCGCGTGTGACGTCATGATCGGGCTCATTTGTATGCAGGCGTCTGCCTTTTGACTACATGGACTACAAAGGACGCCACCGGAGGGCGTAAACCCAGATGCCGCGGGTGAAACTGCACATCAGGTAAATACGAAGTTTGGCTGGTAAAAAAAAGGAAATTAAAATTAAGATCTCAGTTGATTGCCACTTTCTAAATTTTTGCAAATTATGACATTTTCGAAAACATGCTACTCAAGTACGTACATTTTTATAATAATTTCAGAATATTTATAATATTTTCAAAAATAAAAACATTGAGAAAATATTAAAGGTATTATTTTAAAAAACACGCGGTGACTTGGAATGGACTCTATAAGAGCGCACGTACAGCACATGAATCCAGGTAAAAATCTATCAAAAGTTGTAAGACATAAAAGAACATATACTACTTGTGATGAAAGCTCCCTGTATAAAGTCAGTAGGAACAAAGATCACTTGATACCGGTGATCATTATCTAGTCTACCGAAGCGATCCTTTTCTCCACCGCTGCAAATTTTACATGCCCGGTCAATTCAAGCGGCCGTTGACCTTATATAATAGAAAGCAGGACAATATAGTTTACGTGCGCTCTGGACTCTGGATCGATACGCAAAAACCATATGTATATCATATACATTATCATTATGTGCATAACATAGCATGCTCTGTCGCTGTGTGTATATTCTGTAAGGGTAGGAATAGGCTATCAAACCCAAACCTTTTCGCAGGTTCTTGATTGTCAGAAAAATGTTTATGAAAGGCGGCATGAACCCCCAATGCTGCAGATATAGGCCTGGCGTGCTTGTAGGTGCTTGTATTATATCCTGGATGCTGTCCGTGTGCTGGTTCGCAAACAGGCCACGGTCACGAGGTCTGGTTTATAGATGTGTTGTCCGCCACACACGTTTACGGGGACACCAACATGCATCCAAGGTTGATAAATAAATAAATAGAGTGACCACAGATACACTCGCCAGAAACGTACAGAACGACCTTATAGAGGTAAAGTTGATCCGCGAAGACCAGGCGGTTCCACAAGTGTCATCTGTTGTTGTTCTGTCGAATTGCACGTGTTGCGGTGCGTAGATAAGAGCGCTCCTTGGTGACATTCGTTGTTTCCGATTCCGAATGCAGAAATGTATGTCCAGATACTAATATTTGCTATACACTTGATCTGGCCTGTCGTTCACAATTGACTTTTTCAGTGACTATGTCTTTACATAGCCTCTACCAGACTCACAACGCTGGCTATTTATAGTAGAATATTTGCCAGGGGAGTTTGACCGCCTTGTAGGACCTTGTAGGTTTGACTCGCCTTCGGAGGGAGTCATTTAACTACCTCCTCGCGGCCGGACTCCCTTGGCCAATTTTAATATCTTTTTCCCCCGAATTCTACGATCCGTATTCCCGTAGAAAGGTCTGGTGGAGGCTAGTTTTTATATGCCTCAAATCGCCGCGTCACAATGTAACGTTGGGTGCACTTTTGTCCGTTTCTGTGGGCACATATTTTTCTTTGTAGCGGTTTTAGGACAAACAGTAAAAGGAAACACAACAGAAGAAGAATAAAGACACACATTATTTTTATAATCTTCCATGGGTATTATCGTTATACTAAATAAAGGGAACCCGTCATTTCTTTTCGGCAGCGTTTTGGAATTTGAAAAGGCTTGCGCTGTGGACATGTGCTCATGTTGGTAATATAAGGGGCTTTACGTTTTCAGGTTTCTGGGAAAGGTTTCTGTTTGTTTACACCGCCGCTACAACAACAAGCTTGACCCCTTTCGCACCATCCCATACAGTGACCCTGGCCAGATGGCCGGAGGTTGCCTCGCACAAGTTGTTGTGGTCAGCAGAAATGTAGTTAGATAATCGTATTCATTGTCTTGGCCAATCAGGCGTAATTGTCTTACAATTAGCAATATTTAATCCCTCCCATATATTCCAAACATGGACAGAGCTGGCAAAACATGTTAATAAGGATGTGTCCTCGTATAAATATCACCGCGACCTACTCGCAGACTCATTACGCACGGAAAAAAAAACCCACGTCCATCGGCGGCGTGACCTCACGACCAGGCCGCGGGACGTGGAGCGCGGGTAGCCCGGCCAATCTGGAGCAGCGCACGGGCGCAGAATGCAGGCAGCCCCGGCCAACAGCGCGCGGACGTGGAAAGCGGGTGTCCCGCGACCCGGTCAACCCTCGCCGGAGCAGCGCGCACACCCGGAAGGCCCCCGGATTTTAGTCGTGCAGGCACGGAGGTAAGCCCAAACTTGAGTAGGTTGAGACTGTTCTTTTAATATTGGAACCATGCCATATGTAGTGTGTATTTGTGTCCACGGTCTTGGTTCATGTTGCCTTCTTACGTGTACCATCAAACGGTGTATTAATTTGGTTTAAAGTTTTTTTGGGTAATGTTATGATTTTTTTGTGTGCATGTAACATGTAAGTTGTTCCATTT